AAAAATTACGTTTAGCGAAATTTCTAACTAAGAGCCGGAGATAACAGAACTTTGTGACGTTTTCGTCTCCCAAAATCGAAATTACTGACCAATCTATACTAGTTCTTATGGGGGTTGAATATACTCGATTGTCAAACAAGTGCCTTGAATATGTCTTCAGTTTATCAACTATAATTTAGGAGTGAATACCTTCTTGTCGACAATGTAGCCATCGATAAAAATAGCTTTGTATATCACATGCCTTCTGAATTTTGTTACGACTACTAGGTCCTCTCCAAATGATTCTCTCATCTTAGCGCCTGAAATGAACGAGTACCAGGGCAGTTTCTGTTAACTACTGATGAACGGGTGAAGGTATCATGATAGGTGATTTTTACTCAAAACACTTAAGGGGAATCACGTTTTCTCCGCTGTTCGAACTGCAAGGAGCGAGATAAAAATTTCGCAAATACAATGGATGCAAAAGTATTTCTTACTCTAGATTTAAACAGGAAAAACCTTATTTTGAATATCATAAAACAGTTATTGCGTTTTGACATGCTCCTGTCACCATCAACGAATTTTACAGCCAGCTTTTACATGATGTGTATTGCTGTGTAAATATCATTCGAAAGACGAGAATAACACGAAAACTTCTCTAGAAGAACTATACTAGAAATAGGCTTTTTCCGCGATAAATGTTTCCAAAACCTTTCGTCAAACAACACCTCCGCCGCACACTTAAACGACCATTTGAAAAGTTCATTATCGAGTTCACAAACTTCGTTTTCTTTCCCTGACCCTCCAGGCTCTCGAACTGATCGTAATCGGTGAATAAAATGGCCGATAATTTTATTGAAACCCGGAGTAGAGTTGGCGACTTCTTTCGGTCGAAGCATTCTTTTGCTCAGGACGCTCCGTGGCTTGTACCATTCTTCGATTAGTTGGGAGATTTAAATTCTCCCCCCCGAACAACCCACGGCCATTTACCGTCGTCCGTGCCCGGGGGTAGAAAGACAATTTTCATATCGTAGATTTATGCTTAGAGGTGAAAAACCCAACAGCAGCACCAAAACCTGATATGTGACTTTGCTAAATTCTACAACATTCGTTTGTCTCAAACTCAATTCAGCCTATAATAATTAATAATTTACAATAATTCATTAATTTATAGTGCGCTTTTTAACATGCCGAGTGATCAATAGCGCATTACAACGATAAGTTACCTAAATTATACTTGTATAAGACATACACAATAAATTCCAGAGATAATAAATAAATCACATCATTTATATATATATATTTACATATCTAAGAAATATATCTAAGCTTATTTAAAAAGATAGGTTTTAAGACATGACTTTAAAGTTGAAATGCATTTAATGCTGCGGAGATTAGCAGGAAGAGCATTCCATAAAGTGGGTGCAGCGTATATAGTATAGTATGTATAGTATGCAAACCTATGGGTTTGCGTACTTGAAGGGCCTCAATCAGGACAATCAGGGGTTAACCGTTAGTCATAAAAAGGTGACAAAATGTAGCTGTTAGGAGTAGATATCGGAAAATTCTAACCTTTAGTCGCTTTAACGAATAAGAAAAGCTTTAAAAAGCCTTCACCTCATTGAGACCCTTTACTGATAGTCTTGTTTTGTTGGAAAAGGGGACATGAGTAAATACTGATATCGTTACCTCAAATCCTGATGACAGGTATTTGTTTTAAACAAGTAGCTTGTGCCAATGAATCTTAGCACGGGCCTCGTCCACGCTTTTAGCTACATCTTTTTTCTTCCGATGAATCTTTTTCCACTTGATCTTGAATCGTTGACCCGCAGTCCGAGTATACGTAACGATTTCGCCTAACTTCATGATCGATTTTCAGGGAAGTAGCATGACTTCGAGCTATTTATTAACCGGAGGATTATAGATGATTTTAAAATAATCGCCAGAATTTTGAGGTGTTTGTTGTAGCTTGCAAAAACAAAAAAAACTCAAAGGCAGTCCAACTGAGTAATCCATGTACTAGGTGTCAGTGTTTTGTTCATCACCCGGAATATCACCTGAGAAATTTCTTCTGTATGTGTGATACGTACACGTGATGGTCGAGTATTAGCTTGTGTTTCCTACTCTCAAGAGCTCAAACTTATAATCAATTTTGCGTGTCAAAAGCATGTATATGTCTTTGGCAGATAGTGTCGGGAAATACAAATTTTTCAATACGGTGTTCCATAAAACGATATGTCAATAGAACGTTAATGATCAGAGTGAGACAATTTAGAAATAGTAAAGACACCATAAGATAGTGATAAAAAAAGAAACAAAGAGGGTAAAAGAAATTCATCTAAGAAATGTTATTATTTTTTTTATTATTTTTTTTCAAAATAACGGCAAGTTTTATGAAGCATGAAGAATTCATAAGTCGACTATTATTGTCAAGAAAAATAATAGTTCCGAAAAATGTCTCTCACGTACAACACCTTAGTCAAAGCTTGCAAATACTTTCAGCTAGCTTCAAACTATACGCGTAAAGGTCGAAAAAAGATGTCATATTTCATATTTGTAAATAAGCAAGGTTTTTAATTAACCAACTTGTAAAAACTCCCTGAGGTCTGCTATTGTCATACGAAACCCGTAGGAGATTTTAAAAAAGTTTTCGCTTTTTCGGTTCGCTCAGTGCCGCTAAATAGTTTATCATTAAATAAAAAGTGTTAAAAACGAAACCGAATTTTCGAAGCGAAATGAATATGACCGCTTTTAGAGGGACTGGTTTATCAGGCACAAGTTTGTTAAAACGTGCGAGAATAATCAAGATATCCTGCTATTGTATTAATTAAGATAAGTGCCAAACTTCATTAATAAACACAAAAACGATGAACACATATTGCTCTGAGATAAAAGTTATTGGGGCTACTTATCATATCAAACAAGAAAAAAATCGAAAGACACGCAGGAAGTTGCTTTGCGTGAAAAAGTACTCAGAACTCGGCTATCATTGATGTTTAGCACAACCCACTCTAAATTTAAAGACATATTTCAGCAGAGGTAAATTAAGCTTAGTTGAGGTAGGGCAAGTAATCTATTTTGTATTTATAAGATCATGTAACAAGTTTCTTTCCTTTCTTTGTTTGGGTTTTGGTGCGGAAGTATTAGAAAGTTGGTCTGGTTCGTTCCTAAAAATTGTGACGACAAAATAAGTTCTGACGGTTACTAAAGGGGGCAACTGTTTCTAATGACGAAAAAAAAAAGAAGAAAGATTGGCCAATATAGAATTGCAGTTCATGTCTAGTGTGCATACATCGGGGTATGGATACATGAGGACGAGAAAAGCGCGATAGTCGCTTGAGGCGCAGCTGAGAACAATGTTATCTGCTTTAGTGCTCTACGACGTAGCTGACACAACTTGTGCACGAAAATAGCGTTTTATCCCAGATGTCGGTTTTACCAGATATTATTTTATTTTACCAAATATTATTTTAAGTCGGTGCCACAAATAAAATGCAAGGGAAAATGATTAAGAAATATTTCTAGACCAATTCGTTATTCGAACAAGAGCTAATAGATAGAAGAGAGAAGCGAGAGTCATTTATTCACTGACCCTATTGACCCTATATTCTAATATTTTTCGAGCTTTGTTAAGGTTATTTTCACGACCAGCCTGGCGAAGCTATTCCGCTCTTCTATCCAACACCTGCTTGGACGGTACGAAGTAAAATCTTTGTCCGGCACAATGGAACGGCTGCAGTCCTTGTTCTTCAAGGCGATTTAGCGATAATCATAATTTTAAGCCTTTCTAGGCCATATTCCACTTCATGTTTGTTTCGGCGTAAAACCGTTCGAGCAAACTGTTCAGCCGGCTCTTAGTGTTCGATTTGTATAGGTAACAACAAGGTTTTGAACGCAATTTGGTGTTAATAAGCACGAGTAAATGGATTTTACTAAAAAAGCGGTAATGGAGAATAGAGAATATGGAATAGAGAATGGGGAATGGAAGACCTTTTTAATTTCAAGATGGAAGATAAAAGTTATATTTTCGTTTCAGTGTTTTGATACATAACACTTTTGCTACAAAGAAATTCAAAGTTACTACTGAAAATCAAAGAAAAAACATCCTACGCTCCGTGTGATGAAGAATTCATAACTTGACTATCATTGGTATTTAGGAGCAGCACCTGTCGACATTTAGTACAACAACTCTAGGAGACATACTCCTGCTGAGGTAAATTGAGGCCGAAATTCGATATTTCTACTCCATCTATAAGACCATCTTAAAAGTTTCATTTTTTCATGTCTTTGGGTAAGCTTTGCATAACAAAACCTCGTTATGGCATATAAAACTTTGTATTTTCCACGGATTTATATTTGGAGACTCCAGAAATCTCAATTTACGAAAATTGGAAACCTCGGAATGAACGGTGTTGTCAGTACAAAAGTAAAGAAAACCAATATCTAACATCAAAACTCTTTCGGCTGTTTTAAATTACAACAACGAGCAAACGCTGACAATTACAAATGGGAAAATCATCAAAAAAAATAAACAAATACGGTAGATAATTTTTGTTTTCGCCTTTCAAGGTGACTCAATGCAATAACCGGAAACGATAATCATCTTTTTTTAATGAAAATAACTTTTGCCGGCTGATTTTATGGGACCTAGACTGTGTCTCGGTTCACAAAAAGGTAGAAGAAGAACTCGGCCAAAATCTAGCTTTCTTTACTCTTCCTTTACACGCTTATTCCAATAACGCGTATAAAGTGCAGTGTCACTTCTTAATGCTGTCGATGATTAGTTTTTCGTAACTTGATTGCCAGAACACGTTCATGTGTTTAATATTAATACGTTCAACTGGCGGAGGCCGAAGAAAACTAAAACAAAACCTTTTTGGATTGACTTAATATCCTTCTTAGATGTAAATTTAGGTATTAATTTGGCTGAAAATCCTTACATAACTTAATCTCAGCATTTTTAACTTTGTTGATAGGTACTTAATCTGTGTGCAGCAATCGGCACCTACATTCACCTCAGAATGAATCCAAAGTTCTGGCTGACAACCATGTTTCTGATGTCCCGGATTGGTGTACTCAACGCTAACAGCCGATGTCATGTAACTGAGAGCTCCATCAACGGAATGTACCTGAAAGGTCACGTGTTTAAAATGTATCGCGATCTGTTGGCTAGAGAATGTTATTTCCGGTGTGAAGAAGAAGTCACGTGTCAGAGCTACAATATCATCATTGGTCAAAACATCTGTGAACTGAACAATCGTACAAAGGAAGCAAGACCGGAAGATTTTATGCCGGATGAGAGAAGATTTTACATGAAGCGTTCTAGCAACAGAGGTACCTTTTACGTTTCCTCGACTAACTTTTTGCATTTTCGTCTCTGGGCAAACTTGTTTTTTTAAATTTTTTCATTCACGATTACAGAAAACTCAGAGAAACAAAATTTTTATATTTAGATATATTCCTATGGCGAGCCTTTTGATGATTCAATTTCAGGGATTGTTTCAATATTGGTAAAGCATTTCAAAATACAGAGACAAGTCAAAATAAAAGTGACGACGTTTTGGAATCATCGTCTCATCAACGTCATCTTGGGAAGATAATATTTGACTTAACTATGAAGCCAAGCAACTGTTTTCTTCAGTCACCTTGAAAATGGTTTAGCGATGATACCGAAATGCTGGCTTGTTTCACTGCGTTATTGTAACTATAATAACCCTATGCTGTCTTCCATCTCATTTCTTAGTCTAGATCTAATAGAATTAGCACAGTTTTTATTTCTTTCTGCTTTTACGCAGGCAGGAAAGGTAGGAGGTTTTTTTTCCTCTCCTGTCGCATTAGGAGGTATCGAACTGCAAGATGGTGTAAACTTCTTACATGAAATTCGTTTTTTCTGTCGTAGTTCCCCTCGGATCCATCAAAGAGCTCCCGGCGAAAACCTGTGGTGAGATTGAAGCAAGTGAAGGGAACCAGATAGCTGACGGGAAATACTGGATTTACTCTGAAAGAAAGTAGCGAGGTCATCGAGGCCTATTGTAAAGGTAAATTGTTTGACTAAATTAGTGGACTCATTAATAATAATAATAATAATAATTTATTATTACTCATATAGCGCAGAATACATGTGAATATAATCTAACGTGCTATACAATAAAACTATGCAAAATAAAGTATGAAAACGAACTATAAAAGGCTAAGAATATACAATATGACTAACTAAAAAAAAAGGTATGAAAACGAAACATAAAAGGTCAGGAATATACAATATGACTGACTAAAAAATACTAAAACGAACTATAAAAGCAAACATGAAAATGCCTGTCTAAAGAGATGTGTTTAGAAGTGTTTTAAAACAATTAGGAGCATTTACTGCTCTTATATTTGATGGCAATCTATTCCAAAGTTTAGGAGCAGATGCCATAAATGATCTATCACCTAAAGTTTTCTTAGTTATGATCCTGGGTGGAAATAATTGTGGTTCAGACTGAGATCGTAACATCATACGTCCGAATTGTTGCTTAACGTTAATTAGATCCGTAATGTACTGAGGTTTCAGCCCGTGGATAGCCTTGAACGCTAAAATAAGTGATTTAAATTCAGTTCTGAAACAGACAGGTAACCAATGCAAGGAAAACAAAGTAGGAGTTATATGACAAGAACGAGAAAGGGAACAAAAAAATCGGGCAGCACTGTTCTGAATACGTTGTAACTTGTTGAGATGTGCGGTTGGTAGACCATACAGCAAACCATTGCAATAATCAATACGTGCGGTGATGAATGCATGAACGAGTGTTTGTGTGGAGTCTTTAGTTAAAGATCATCATCCCACTGCCTCCTTAAAGTGTTATCCTATTCCGACTTTTTTTTTTAAACTTACCAAAATAATATCTTGTCTCAGTGTTTCTGCAGATAAGTGAATTACAGTAAAAAAGGGGTTTGTTTTAATTAATTCCAATAGAGATATAAACGCGGAGAAGAAGATTAGTCAATGACATGAATTGTTCTTTCTCTTATACAAAATTGTTTTAATGGCGAATGGGAATAGATTACAATAACTATATATCCAGGTCACGACGCCGAAAAGGACAATGGTTTACCTTTTTTATCACTGGAATTTATCTTACAAACGGCTGTCACCCTAGTACCATTCGAAAATGTGTTGGCCGAAAGTAGCTATTTTTTTTTAATACAGTTTAATTAACTTTAAAAACTATCTACCTATCCTATAACTTTATCTTAGAGAGCTGGCAAAAGATAAATGGCGAAGAACCCGTCTGCTTTGGAGCCAAAGATAACCAATATGGTTCCTTCAACATGACAAAGAGTGGACGAGTGAAAACAATGAAGCTTATTCACCGGTGCGCTGCGGCAATTATATTTCATCCTACTGGGGCTGCACCTACTCAGGATATGGAGAAGATTTGATGACAATCATAACAGATGCAAATAAGAAGGCCATTCTGCCCCCTACCGAAGACTTGAAAGCTCATCCTGATAACACAAAAGACCATTACAGCCTTCCTGGATATCACCATAATTCAACTTAGCTGGTTTTTCGCAACCTCGACAATCCATTGTCTGTCTCGAGCTACCAAGAGATGCAGTTATGGTACGGACAGGATTGGAAGGACTACTTTGAGGGAGAAAAACAGCGGTAAAACTTGTGTTGATGTGTATGCATGGTATGAGTGAGTCTGCCCACTGGATATCTTGCCTTCGATAATTTTAAAACATAAAAGAAAAACATTAGAATATAAAAACCGCCATTCATGTACAAGATCCCTGGTAACACTTTTAGGAAGACAAACCTGTTTCAGTGTTTAAGGACTGCTATGTCTTTGTTCTATACCTGTCAGAAAAGAGAAAGATCATAGGGATCAGAATGGTTTTTTATTAAAATGTCGCTCGAGATCACGGAGAAAGGCCTGATATTTTTCGGTCAATTAGTTTTGCATAGTTTTGCTCAGCATGGTACACCTTACTAGGTAGTGTGGTACACTTCCTTAGCATTCATAGTCGAGAGAAAATTTAACTGTATGAGAAAGTTTAATTTCAATAAATTCATACACATAAGTGGTTATTTATAGTGGGGTTTCGAACTCAAGCTCGATTTCAAAAAGGGAAAAATTGAAGCGAAATAAAACTAAACAATTACGGAAGGCAAAAGAAAGGAACGAACACAGAACAAAAAAAATACTCTCCCGAAAAATACTCGGACTCGGACTCGAAGATACACTGATACACCTGTATGTCATTTAAAACATGTTGAAGTCGGCTGATCTACACGAAACTATCCTCACACCGGTAATTTGTCATAAACATGTACGTTATCACGATGGCGTGACGTATTTCTCCATGAGGATTCCATCGGTCGCTCCAAAGAAGACGAGAAATGGATATTTTTCATACATGTCAGCAGATTTCCGCTTTCTGAAATAAAAACAACCTAGTAGGTGGGTAGTTTCATTTCCAAAAGTGATGCACGTTTGGAGAAATTCAGATAAACGTTTTCCCTGTTTTACCCGAAAACAAAAGTGACCGAAACTGTACCGAAGATGAATAATCTATTGGTGTGTTCACATTCACTTTCCCAGGGAAAATTGATTGAATCAAAGTGAAGACGAATGATGTCACTATGTATGGTAGAAGCACCAATTTGTAATGTTGTATTTAGCTTGAGATAGAAAAATAAACATTTTTTTGGCGACGTTTTTGTATGAAAACGAGGCTCCAGGCCTCGAACAAGTAGCCGTTGTTACCATGGCAACGAGAGTGCTGCGACTTTTAAAAAGGGCATTTTTGTGCATTCCCCCTGAATACCTAACTGTATGTAAAATTTGAAGGGAGGTTGAAAATTTTCATTTCCCAATATGTTTGATTGATGATAATTAGTTGATCCAATACTAAATTCTCTGAACTAACATTACAAGAATCGTACGGTTGACTGTAAGGAGAATTACAAATTTGATCTGGGATTTAAAGGGTCAGGGAAGATATGCGCCAGGAATACCATTCTATCAGTTCCTCAATGGCTCAAGTTGAAGGAAAAAAAGTTAGAAACTTCCCTACAAACTTCTTACCATCAGCGTGACAGATAATACTAATTTTCGTGGTCAATCATTAGCTACTCGCAGTCGTCTACTGTCGTTTTGAGATATGCCTTTTAGATATCTTTTTGAACTAGGAGGGAGGGGTGACTCCGTTATTCTCTTGTATGCGCCGCCGTTAAGACAGCACTGCTAGTATGACGTCACATAGCAACAATAGAAGTGCTTCGCAAAGCTTGCTCAGTCTAGCGTGAGGACAGTGACAGACAAACAACAAAAAGGCTAACAAAGACAAGGCCATCACAGGCTCCTAGTGGGTTGTTATTGATTAATTTGCCGTGAGTGTGAAAGCTTTGTTGTTTATATTGTTAAGAGTTGAACTGTTTTCTGTCTTGTGGAAGTTTTGTTTGTAATTTCACTAATTAGTATCAGCCTAGGATCTCATACGAGTTATTTAAATTCCGAAGATGCGCATAGGTGGTCTCTTTGAAAGAAGCGACAAGACCTCTCTTGTTCTTTCAGTTTTTCATTCAGGCTTTGCCTTTAACGTTGTCTGTTTTACCAGCTATACTAAAGGTGCAAACGTTTCCTCGCCCACGCCTGCATCGGTATCAACAAAAACAACAAAAATGGTGACAGTTACAACCCCATCAGTAACCAATTTAAGTTCAGAACCTGCTTCAAAGCCCATCCATGTAAGCTCTACTAAAGCGTTTGCGTTAAGGCCACGAGATCCTTCTCCCATCAAATTCCCTCACCACATACACAATGGAGCAGAACACTCCCCCCCTCCCCTTTACAAAAGCCCGACAATGGTATTCAGGTATGTTCATCAGTGAATGAAGCATTTTTTCCTGGAGACCCCTAACTAAGGGTCATGTTGCACACCACCCCCCACGGTCACGAACAGCCTTTAGGTACACATACTTTACCAGATGAAGCCCATTTAAGGGTTCATGACATTGTGTATCAAGTCCTGTGCCTAATTCACGCTTCAATTGAATCAGAGCGTGATCACTTGTTATAAAGTGGAGAAATATGTGAGAAGCTGGGAAAAGTTACGACCCATTTTAGAGTGTTTTTTTAAGGATGAAAATGAGAAAGAGCCACTCAACTTAGGAGGACATGGGCTATAAAATACTGAACCTGAGAAAAAACAGAAAATTGTGAAACATTTGTTTTATCGCTGAAAACCAAAACCACGAGTCAATGATCTTTCCTGCAATCTGTTTTTAGTAGACCTTCGTAAGGAGCGACATTATCGTAATGTATTATAACTAATGTCAAGTCGGGTACATGTTCCTCAGTATTTTGACATAATTAGCATTATGTCAGTCGTTTTTGATGTGTTTCGTTGTTTTATTTCGGAATAAGATTATTTGATACTAGAAACCCTGTCGTCTAATTTTCTGATTGGTGTTCTCAGTTTGGAAGACAACGAAAAAGTTGCAGCAACTGTTATATAGAACAGAAATGTAGTTCTTGCGATGGAGCATAAGAAAGGAATGAACGACCGCTGTCTTTTGACAAAAGTAAAATATATTTGCTGGTCTTCATCCCAATTCCATTAACCTTTGCCCCTTTCTTCAATGGAGAGCGAATCCTTTAACACGCCGCCGTAAGGTTCTGAAAGTAATTAATGCCGTAACGATTAATCTGCGCATAGTTAGACGAATATTTCACATACATCTGAATTAGGAGCTCAATAGCACATGACGTAATGAAGAACTTCACCACAAAATCCATAAAGTCACTTTAAATCTACTTTAAAAATTGTTTTCCTGTATTTTTATACTCTCACAGGTATCAAAACACAAAGCAAAACATATCAGAAATTGCTTTGTCCATCCTCACCAAGTAACATCACCTCCGATGATAAAATACAAAACAAAACGATTAAAAAACAAACAAGAAAAGAGAAAACGCATTAAAAAAAAGTTATTTCAAAATTCAGTTATATGGCGATCG